AATAATTTTATATTATTAACATTATTATTATTATATTATTAATAATATTATTATATTAATATATTAATATTATTAACAATAATTATAATATAATAATCATAATTAATATATTAATAAAAGTGATAAATCATGTTTGAATTTTTTGATCTGATCTGATCTGATCTGAATGTTTCTGATCTGATCTGAATGTTTCTGATCTGGTCTGATCTGGTCTGAATCTTTCTGATCTGATCTGAATGTTGCTGATCTTATCTGAATCTTTCTGATCTGATCTGAATGTTTCTGATCTGATCTGATCTGATCTGAATCTTTCTGATCTGATCTGATCTGATCTGAATCTTTCTGATCTGATCTGATCTGATCTGAATAAAATAAGATTAAGGAATAAGTAATAAGATTAAGACGAACGGAACAGCTTCTTATTCTTATTACTTATTACTTATTCTTATTTTATTCAGATCAGATCAGATCAGAAAAATTCAGATCAGATCAGATCAGAAAAATTCAGATCAGATCAGATCAGAAAGATTCAGATCAGATCAGAAAGATTCAGATCAGATCAGAAACATTCAGATCAGATCAGATCAGAAAAGTTCAAACATGATTTATCACTTTTATTATTATATTAATTATTATTAATATTGTTATTACTATTATGATGATTATTATTATATAATTATTATTAATAATATTAATAATAATATGATAAAAAATAAGATATTAATAATAGTTATAATATTTTAATATAATAATAGTAATATAAATGCAATTATTAAGAAGACTATTATTATTATTATTATTATTATTATTATTATTACAATATAATAATAATAATATGATTAATATTATTATAATATTATATTATAATTATATGTAATTATAATTACAATTAAAATTCTTATAATTATAAGTATAATCAATTGTAATTATTATAATTATATCTATAATTAATTATAATTATAATTGTAATTAGTTATAATTATAATAATTATAATTATAATTACAATCATAATTATACTTATGATTACAATTATAATTATAATATAATATTATAATAATATAATACTAATAATAATAATAATAATAATAATCATATTATTATTATATCATTGTAATAATAATATTAATATAATAATATCGTTATAATAATATTAATTGCATTTATATTACTATTATTATATTATAATATTATAATTAATGTTAATATAATTATAATTATTATTAATTATAATTATAATAATTATAATTATACTTATAATTATATTATAATTATAATTTATGATTATAATTATTATTTTTATTATAATTATTAATATTATTATTATTACTATTGTAATTATTTTACGGAGTAATTATAATAACATTGATAACTATAGTTACAATTATAGAGATAAATATTGTAATTATAATTACAATTATAATTATATAAGTAATTATAATTAAAAATATAATTACAATTATAATTATATCTATATTTATTATTAGTGTAATACGTATAAATTTTTTCATTTTAAATTTAATTTTAATTATTATTATTATTATTATTATAGTTACGATTATGATTATAATTTTATTTAAATTATATTTGTAATTGCAATTATAATTATTACAATAGAAATAATAGAAATAATAGAAATAATTATAATTATAATTATAATTATAATTATAATTATAATTATAATAGAAACATTCAAATCAGATCAGATCAGAAAGATTCAGATCAGATCAGAAGGATTCAGATCAGATCAGACCAGATCAGAAAGATTCAGATCAGATCAGATCAGATCAGAAAGATTCAGATCAGATCAGAAAGATTCAGATCAGATCAGAAAAATTCAGATCAGATCAGATCAGAACTTAAAAAATTCAGATCAGAAACATTCCGATCAGGCGAAGAGAACAGCTTCTAAATTCCATTAATTGTTAGACCACCAACCTTTTACTTTTGTGTGTGTGCTTTATAACCGATTTGGTGGGTTATGGATCCCGGGTAGACGGGGTAGTACATATCTTAGAGACTCGTGTGAGCAAAAAATTGTGTAATAAATTGGGAGAACTGTCAAATAGGTCCTCGAACTTTCAAAAAAAGGTCAATTAAGTCCTTCTATAGGAGACTCTGTCCGGTCGTCGCGATTTGGGGCAGTTTCCGGTGGAATTTTTTTATGAAATTTTTTGAGCATCTTATTCACCAAGTCTAGTTTACTCATACCAAATTTCAGCTAAAAATTCAATCGAGAACACATTCAAATTAATTCTTGAAAATAACTACGCATTTTTGCGTTCTCGAATTAATTTGAATGCGCTCTCGATTAAGTTTTTAGCTGAAATTTGGTATGAGTAAACTACACTTGATGAATAAGATGCTCAAAAAATTTCATCAAAAAGTTCCACTGGGAACCGCCCCAAATCGCGACGACCGGACAGAGTCTCCTATAGAAGGACTTAATTGATTTTTTTATGAAAGTTCGAGAACCTATTTGACAGTTTTCCCCAATAAATTTGGTAGAATAACACTAAAAAGAAAAGACAGCTCACGGCCAAAGGGGAAGATAACTATGTATAGGAAAACAAAAATGCTAGAGGTACCCCAATTTGTATCCTCACCCTAGCTATTTTTGTGGCTCACAAAAGCAACTCATTAAAGTGGAGCAATTCATTTATTGAAGTGGGCTTTTGTGAGCCACACAAATAGGTTAGGGTACAAATTGGGGTACAAAATGGGATACCTATAGCAAGGTTGATAGGAAAAAGTGGAAGCTAGTTTTAGCCTTGCTAAAGTTCATAACAACACGCATGTTGATGCTACACAGATGTAGGGTGACATCATCCCCCGAGAAACTATCCTAGTGTCACTGATGACGTCACCCCTACAAGATTTGGTCCTTAGTTAAATACGGTACGAGAATTAAACGGGTTTAATGTGTAAGCGTTTTATTCGGTAACATGAATGAAAAAACGGTCAAAAATTCGTTGGAAAAAACGTTGACTTTTAAAAAACGTGTAAATTCGTATACGTGTATAATACGGTATTTGTTACAAAAATTTGGACTAAAAATACGGGATATTATTTTGCACATTTATATTATATACTTCACAAAATAACATCTATAATTAAAAGAAATAAAAGTATACACATATTCAAGTAGTAAACCCCATTACTACACAAGAGAATAATCCGTGATTGCATAAGTCGATGACAAAAATTAAAAATAGTAATAAATTCTAAGACATAATTTTGCAAAATAATGTCAAAAAAATGAGGCATAATAACAATATAATGAGAATAAGTTAAAATCATTATCTTTATTTGATCATCTAATAACACTCAAGTTAAACTCATCATTTCCATCAAGATGACAGATGATATATGAGAAAAGTTGTGTGACTGCGATGTTTATTATTGTTTATATATAAAAATTTATACTTAAAAAATGTCAGCTTTAGAAAAAACTTTAATTTTGATGTGCTTGTTTGGGAAAACATTATAAGTCCAATATTATTTCACGTTTTAGTCTTTTAGGATGCTAGTTTTAGCCGCCATACAATTAATTTTGGTATTCAATAATTGCATTGTAACAATACAAAAACACGAGATCACGGGGAGGAAGTTTTTTTTTTTTTTTTTTTATTTTAAACTATTGTTCATCTTCTATTCATTTAATGCACTCACTCAATTGATCAGTTCATGTTACTATTATTTTGTAAAATACAGGAAAAATACGTTTTATACGTGAAGTAGGAGTTTTTTCCCCTTTTAAGCGGACCGACATTATTTTTCGTTTTAAACGTGTTTTTTTGCTCAAAAAACAGTACGTGTTTAAAACGCGTTTAAAAAGCAAAAAAGCTAACTAGGATTTGGTCTTGTGACACTAGCAGTAGCGACTGTGAACTAACTAAATTAAGGCGGACCAGGTATGCTCCGCCTTGTTGGGTACCATCATTGTGAGATACTAGATTCTCACTCGTGCGATGAACGGGACAAAATTTGGTATAATGATATTATATTCTTTATTGTATTAACATTAATATCAAAATTTTATTAAATACAATGGGTAAATGTATGAATAAAGAATATCCATTATTATATAATAAAGGTTATAATTACAAAGAGATATTATAACCTACGGTGTTTTGGAGGAAGATAAACGTATGAAAAAAAAAGAAATGAGATATTAAAAGTCGTTTGGAAATATCCCAATGGGATGCAGTGGTTGATTCTGTTGAAATTTATGAAGTTCAAATTGAAGTAGCTAAATTGACTGATTATTCTAATTTATAAAAATAAATACATTTAAAATTTATTTTATTAATTATATAAATAAAAATTTGTATGAAAATTACATGAGCTATATTTCTAAAGTTACTTCAATCAATACAGTCAGAAAAATAGCATCACTCTTACTTTTTTTATTAGGGGAAAATAATTAAAATACCCCAAACTTTAAAGAGGTGTGAGGTAAGCACCTTAAACTTGCATATGTAATTAAAATACCCCAAACTTTATATAAATAGTTATTTTAGCACATTAGTCATGTATTATTTTTTCTTAAATGTCAATTTTTGGTGTTAATTTAAAATATTTTAGCATTCATGAAGATACAATTAACATTCTAAACTTCCATTGTAAAATAAATAGTATTAACCTCACTCTATATAATTGCAAACTTTTCAATTTGATATTTTAAATTATGCAATTAACATCATAAATTTACATTTTTGAAAGAAATGATACATGACAATGGTGGTAAAATAACATTTTATATAAAGTTTGAGATATTTAAATTATATATGCAAGTTTGGGTTGTTTATCTCACACTCCTTCATAGTTTGGGGTATTTTAATTATTTTTTCCTTTTTATTATAACACAATTCAGTGTGTTAAACTAAAAATTACGTGTTTGATGAAAATATCGGCCGATAAGCCTAATAAGTAACATTATTAAATGCAATAAATATTGGCTAGTACCCACACCATATACACAGTATTTAAAATGTGCGGATGAGTATACGTGAGAAATCCAATATTGATAAATGTAAAGTTCAAAGTCCAAGAAAATAGATTCCCTTTTGATCAAAATTCAATTTTTTTTTGAGCGAGAGCCTTCTCTCTAAATCTTCGAGCCTCCTAGGGCGTTTTACGCCGCTGGGTTTTGTTGTGTCCGATCTCGGCGGTCTGCCGAGGATCGCGAGCGAGTGGAGTCGGAACGAAGACGGATAGCAGTAGTTTAGTTTCGATCGACGGACGGGAGGATACGCATGGAAGATTTCGTGGCCTCGTACAAGAAACTTTCGATGAGCGAGCAAGAGAATGAGTTGAATTTTGATGAAGATGTAGCGGAGGACGTCGAGGAAGAGGCAGGGCCGACTGGTTTTCCGGCAGTAGGAGTAGTGATATCTGATCAAAAGATTAAACTAGCAGGATTCCAGGAGCTGATGACCTCAATCTGGAAACCTGTTAAAGGTATGACTATCTAGGAAATCGGCGACAAAAGGTACCTGTTAATTTTTAATCATGTTTAGGATATGAATCGTGTTATTGAGGATGGTCCTTGGCTGTTTGAGCGCGATTTGATTTTACTAAAAGCTGTTCAGCCTGATGAGAAGCTCGTTGCCCAAGGTCGCCGAGCAGATGGAGCCTCCAAATTCCTGATCGATAAGTTGAGTGTCAATATGAGGTGTTAGGTTCTTCGATGACCAGAGACGTTCCTCGGCGTGGTAGAGATTGGGTGTTGCTCAGTCGTATCAGCCTCCGCGGTCGCCGTCTGGAGCTACATATGAGTTTAGCTTCTGATTGCATCTGTTGCATACCGTATCCGCCCTCTGGGTAATGGACTGAAGTCGCATCCGTCAACACTCAACAACCACACTCAAAAAAGTTGGATGCAAAAAGGTGAATTATATGGGAACGGTAAATGAAAAGTTGATTTGAATAAAATAAAGGGAAAAAGACGATTAAAACAATGTCTATGAATGTATATAGGACCCGAAGCTTTTTAAACATCAAATAGGACTAATTTTCAAGGGAAGGACAAAATCACCCTTAGCTTACGAACCATGCTCCCTAGACATGTTGCTGCCAGCTTACGCAACATCCATTCACATCGCCGGCAACGACATGCATCAAATTGGTGACTGGATTTATCCATAACTTAAATTTACTTATCATTCGTTGATCCCTGCTGCGTTTCATGTCGGTCTGCTACAGGTTGGGGCCGGATTAGTCGCCGGCGAGAGTCATCATCCAAGTGGTCGCCGGCGGGTCTTCTTCTTCCTTTCTTCTTCGTCTCATCTTCTTCCTCTCCTCCACCTCCGGTCCTTCTTCTTCTTTCTTCTTCCTATTCCTTTTCTTCTTTCTCTTCGTTCTTCTGAGTTCTTCTTCCTCCCTTTATCCATCTGGACGGCCTGCGATGATAGTTCGTAGCTTTTTGTTCTAATTTTCTTGTTTTATGTTTCAATTTCTTTGTTATTATTTTTCCTTTTCTAGTTTTTTACTCCGTATTTCATTTTTGTTGAATTCAATTTTCTCTCGATTTTTTTTTGCATAATATTCCTTTTGAATATTTTTCAAAGAGGATAGATTGATGATTCGAACAATGTCACAATACTAGTAGATCAATGATTCAATATTAAAAACATTGTCTTTATTTTGCTAAATTATAATGTCAAAACTTATTATATTGTTTATTACAGTGTTATTAATTTACAATGACACAGCTTGTCATTGGCAATGCCATCTTTACGGTTATACTACGTACTACCTCCGTCCCATTTATATTGTCCCGGAAGAGAGTGACACGGTTATTAAGAAAAGTGGGTTTGTGTGGTTGATATTAATTGATAAAGTAAGAATAAAATAAGAATGATTTAGAGCCACACAAACTTTGCCAAACATGGTATGAGACAATTTAAGTGGGACTTCCCAAAAAGGTAAAACAGGACAATATAAATGGGACGAGGGAGTATTATTTTAATAAGAGCTGAAATTATTTTGACATTGTGATAATTGTTTCGTAGCATCAAAATTTTTATTTACAATGACTTAATATTGTGATATTAACACACCATGTAATAACATTATATTGTGACATTGTTTTCATTGATGACATTGTGATATTGTGATATTGTTAGAAGTGTACAAAAATATTGTAACATTGTGACATTAACGTTGTGTCACTGCCAAGAAGAAACATTATATTGTTGTTTTCTTTGACAACGTTGTGATATCTGTGACAATGTCGTGTGACATTATTAATATTTGACATTATTTTCATTGATGACATTGTAATGTGACATTGGAACATTATGTAATGACAATATGACATTATAATCCGACATTGAGATATTAACGTTGTGTCCTTGTCAAAAACTGACATCATAATAATGAGTAATAATGGCAATGTCAAATGCCAATGTCAATGATTATTGCGACAATGACAATGTCAATACCCAATGTCGATGACAATAACAATTATGACAATGTCATTACCAAATTAAATTTATCAGTGTCATAATCTTTGAATCATATCAATATGGCAAAAAATGTCTAAATATTAAAAGTGGTATCAATGTTAGAGCAATTTTAATTTTGTAAAAACATGTTAAATGTCACAATGGGAAACAATAAATTTTGTATAAAGATGTCATATTATCCAAAAAATATCACAATGTCAAAAAGTGTCACTAAAAAATCATAAATTTTGATTGCATGTTACATATTATGTCACAATGTCAAAAACTCAAAATATCACATAACAATGTCATCAACGAAGATAATGTCACAATGTTAACATCACAATATTGCACCACAATATCACAATGTTAATATCGCGATATCACATGACAACATCACCATTGTGCCATATCACAATGTCACAATATCACATGATGTGTAATTACATAAGGTCGTATCACAATGTCACAATATTACATGACAATGTCACAATATCTCGATCAATGTCATCAACAAAAACAATACCACAATATCACAATGTTAATGCCGCAGTGTCACAGTAAATACACAATGTCACATGACAATGTAATAATATCACGATGACATCATAATGTTATTAAACAATATAATGCCAGAATATTAACTCATTGTCATTGCCATTGTCTAGGGCTCTAGAAGAACAACAATCAAATACTCGGTAGCAGATAAAAATCAAAACATACAGTACATAATAATAGGAATATAACTAAAGAAATAAAATTACTTAAGCTTCAACTTACGTGAAACAAAATCGGAAACCATCAAATGTGAATAGTCAATTTGAAATTTGAATAACGAAATACGGAGTAAGCAAAATGAAAAAAAGAAAAAAGAAAAAAAGAAAGACGATGCAATGTCTATTTCATGGTGCTGCCGCCGATCGATCCTAGATCCACAAAAGGATCGATTGTAGGTCCCCAGAGAAGAAGAAGATTGCCAATAGAAGATTTTAGGTCCGCATGCAAATCTGTCGCACCTTCGGCCGCAGCTGTGTCGCTGCGGTGTCTATTTCGTTGTGCCGCCGCCGTCGGGTCTTTTCTCACATCTGTAGCGCCGCTACGTATGCCTCAGCTCCTCCATCCAGTCCGTCAGTCTTCCGGCATTGAGGTGGGTTCCTGTGGGTTTAGTTTAATCGTGACCGAAGAAAAGAGAGACGGAATATAAGACCGGATGAAGAGATTGGCGAGAAAGAAATAGAAGGGTAAAGAGGTCTGAACATATCAAATATGTCCTATTTACGGTTTAAAAAGAAGTAGGTCCTATTTAATTACATCAACTTATTTTTGGTCCTATCTACGATGGTGTGTGTTCTTCACCTTAGCTTACTATTCAACCTTGACCCCATCCATTTAATTGGTGTGACCCGTATCTTTAGGCGGGAAAAGTGACAAAATTTCCACCACCTTTTGTAAATAGTAAGATAAGATATTGTGGTAATCATTAGACTCGGCCTCACTGAAGTAGCTAGGCCCAGGATGGAGTGGGCCTGCCAGCATAGAGATGGACTTATAACAAGATATCGGCCTCCACACAGGGCTCCAATTTGTTATGTAAATGACTTGGACGACTATCTAGCTTGGAGCATTGGATCATCTATTCATCTTATTATCTGGCCCCTGATGTATATGATAATATACTCAACTATAATATTTTCTATTTTATGTTAAAGATCAACTTCTTTGATTCAGGAGTTTCAAACATGTGACATATTCATTGAATATGTCATAGTGATATTATTAAATCAGGGTTTAATGCACCAAACCCCCATGTGATTTGGAAATTCGGCGCATTAGCCCCCTGTGATTTAAAAAATGCGTCAAACCCCCCTGTGTTTTAATTAATCATGCGCCAAATCCCTTATGTGAACAAATTCAATTGTCAAATAAAAGAAAAATGATTAACATTTTTGTATGATTCAGAGATTTTGACATATTTATTTGCATATTCAATCAAAATATTAGGAAAAGTGATTTTCAAATGGTTAAGTTTATTCATAAAGGGGGTTTTGTGCATGATTAATTAAAACACAGGGGGGTTTGACGCATTTTTTAAATCACAGAGGACTAATGCGCCAAATTTCCAAATCACAGGGGGGTTTGGTGCATTAAACCCTATTAAATCACCAAGTGTTTGGTGACCAACCTTTTGAACAATAAGGTTGATAATATAAAAAAGTATAAAAAAAAGGCAAAAAGACTGAGTACCATTCAATCATTATGTTGATTCATTCCAGCAATTTAAGACAAAAATTACAACGTACTCTATTTTCTTCATTTTCATTCAATTGAACTCACACTACTACTACTAGTGGTGGTGGTGGTGATAGTATTTAATATAAAAAATTATACTCCAATGGACAAAAAGGCATAGGTTTCCATTTTCCTAGATGTGAATGAAATTATGAAGTGATAACTTTATCAAGTTTTCTAGCTTTAGGATGTTGTTATTTGGACTGAAATTTGCTGGTGAGGTCTATTTTAATTCTGGTCTTGTCTTATCTGGCAAATATTTGACCTCTGTGTATTTTGCGACTATAAAAGTGTGGTTTGATCTGGTTTGATGTGATCTCATCTGAGACTTAAAACAGTCGAAATAAAAACATCCTTACCCTCAAATATCAATATCATTTTCAATACATTAGTCAATTCTAATATATTCTTATATTGTTATAATGTACTCTAAAGTCTAAAGTACGTCTTTTCTCATGGGTTTAATTGATTTATGCTCGATTTCTTGCAGATGTAGATGAATGTTCAAATCACCCGTGCATTGAAGAAGCAAAATGCATTGACAGTCCTGGTAACTACACTTGTACGTGCCCAAATAATTACGAAGGAGATGGCCGGAACAAAAATGGAAATGGCTGTAAGCGCAAATCTAATAGCAATAATACCTTGCTATTAGTTGGTTTGAGTAAGTGACCACTCTCTTTTAAATGAAAGAAAACAAAAAGATCATAGACATAATGTCGATTCATCAATGTTCCAAGAGTTCACAAAAACAATTAAACTGCTTATTACGGAGTATTAATATTCTTTATTATAGATCTTCCATGCGAAGGCTATTTTTGAGTAATTATAAATATTAGTCAGACCTTAAATATAGTCAAAATTGTAGGAAGATTAATTAATAGAAAAATAGAAAAACAATATTTTATAAGTAAATTTTCTAGCCAAGTACCTTGTGGTTTGATGACATTACTGTGGCACTCCTAAGGAGGAGGTCACATGTTCGAATCTCATCCATGTTCAAGGATGTTGGCATTGATATTGAACATATACTATATAGGTTAGAACTTAGAAAGAATTGTCCAAAAAAAAAAAAATTCTATATACTGTATAGACCATAACTTTGAAATGTTAAACCTTCTATATTAAGAAGCTGTTCTCTTCACCTGATCTGAATGTTTCTGATCTGAATTTTTTAAGTTCTGATCTGATCTGATCTGAATGTTTCTGATCTGATCTGATCTGAATCTTTTTGATCTGGTCTGATCTGATCTGAATGTTCCTGATCTGATCTGAATGTTCCTGATCTGATCTGAATGTTCCTGGTCTGATCTGAATGTTCCTGATATAATTTTAATTTTAATTTTTATTATAATAATTAGAAATGTAATTACACATATATAATTTAAATATAATTATAATTATAATCATAATTATAAAACAATTATAATTATAATTATAATAATTATAATAGGTATAATTATTATTATACGTATTACACTAGTTATAAATATAGCTATAATTAGAGGAAGCAGTCCAGCTCAGCTGGTCGCCGACTCACTCTCCCTTATGGCAAGTCTCAAGTTCGAAACTCAATGGGGTGAGTTTCAACCTAGTTTACTTCAGCCCCCGCCCCCCCCCCCCAGACGTCTCCTAGAGTAAACAAAAAAAAGCTATAATTATAATTGTAATTATATTTTTAGTTATAATTATTTCTATAATTATAATTTTAATTATAATTATAATATTTATTTCTATAATTTTAATTGTAATTACTCCGTGTAATATAATAATAACAAGAAAATACTAATAACAATAACAACAACAACCATAATAGTAATAAGAATAATAATAATCATGATAGCAATAAATATCATAATAATAATAATCATAGTAATCATAGTAATGATGATGATGATGATGATGATGATGATGATGATAACAATAATAATAATAATAATAATAATAATATCAATAATAATAGTAAATATATTAATAATTACAATAACAACAAGAATAATAATACTAAATTAATAATAATAATAATAATAATAATAATAATGATGATGATGATGATGATGATGATGATGATGATGATGATGATGATGATGATGATGGTGGTGGTGGTGGTGGTGGTGGTGATGATGATGATGATGATGATGATGATGATGATGATGATGATGATGATGATGATGATGATGATGATGATGATGATGATGATGATGATGATGATGATGATGATAATAATAATAATAATAATAATAATATCAATAAGAATAGTAATTATAATAATAATTACAATAACAACAAGAAGACTAATAATAATAATAATAATAATAATAATAATAATAATAATAATAATAACAATAACAATAACAATAACAATAACAATAACAACAATAATAATAATAATAATAATTATTATTAATATTATTATAATTATTATTATAATAAAAGGGATAAATCATGTCTGAACTTTTCTGATCTGATCTGAATGTTCCTGATCTGATCTGAATGTTTCTGATCTGATCTGAATGTTTCTGATCTGATCTGAATGTTTCTGATCTGATCTGAATGATTCTGATCTGATCTGAATTTTTCTGATCTGAATAAAATAAGAATAAACAATAAGTAATAAGATTAAGACGAACAGAACAGCTTTTAAGAGCCCTTGTTTCACGCTTTGAATGTCCAGTTAGACCACAAGAAACAAACATGTTTACCTTTTGGCCTATATCAATATAATTACACATTTTCTTTTCACTAAAAACAATATCCGTTTCACATTTTTCTATTATTTCACAATTTTCTCTTTTCTAATAAAATACTCCGTATCAAATGTATGGATCTTTATTTTCTTAAACTGCACGTTGAGTCAATTTAAGGACCAATGGGGCACCACAAAAAAAAAACACGGTATTGACAAATATTTTTGACAAGAATTCACCAAAATTCGTTGAGGATTTTGCAGGAATATGTTAAATCTGTGCCAAAACACTTTAGCATGAGATATTTGGCACAAAATATCAATTAATCCGTGCCAAACACATTCCAATCCCGTAATTTTTTTATAGTGAGGTATATTATATACTTCCCTCATTGGAGAGATAAATACCAATAGTCGCAAATTAGTAAATTTAAAAGGGAGGAACCAAGTTTTTGGGAAGAGAAAATGGAAAGTTAGCAAAAAATGGAGTTGGTCGCATATACTTTTTATTATTTAAAACAAGGCTATAAACTAATTATTGTGCTTCAATTTATGATACACAGGCATTAGTATTGGGGTGATAGCATTGTTTGTAGTAAGCTTATTCATATATTGGGGATTGAGGAAGAGGAGACTGAGCAAACTTAGAGAGAAATTTTTCCATCAAAATGGTGGAATTTTGTTACAACAACAAATAGCTGGAAATGGAGGGACAAGTGACGCAAGAATGAAAATCTTCACTTTGAAAGATCTTGAGAAAGCCACCAACAGTTTTGATGAAAAAAGGATCTTAGGTCAAGGCGGATATGGAACAGTTTATAAAGGAGTACTCAATGATATAGGAGTGGTTGCAATAAAAAGGTCCAAGATATGTGAGAAAAGTCAAGTTGAACAATTCATCAATGAGGTCATCATTCTCTGGCAAATCAATCATAGAAATGTTGTCAAGCTCTTCGGTTGTTGTTTAGAGACAGAAGTTCCATTAGTAGTCTATGAGTTTATAACTAACAACACTCTATATGCGCATCTCCATAAAAAAGACCAATCGTCTAATCTTTCATGGACGACCCGTTTAAGAGTGGCATCTGAATCTGCCGGAGCGCTATCATATTTACACTCTGCTGCTTCTCCTCCAATCATTCACAGAGATATAAAGACAGCCAATATACTACTAGATGATAGGCTCACCGCAAAAGTCGCCGACTTCGGAGCTTCAAGGCTTGTTCCTCTTGACCGAACTCAAGTCACAACTTTAGTGCAGGGAACGTTTGGATATCTAGACCCGGAATACTTCCACACGAGTCAATTGACACATAAAAGTGACGTTTATAGTTTCGGGATTGTTCTGGCAGAGCTTTTAACCGGAGAGAAGGCAATTTCATTTGATAGGGAAGAGGATGATATGAACCTAGGGGCTTATTTTGTTTCTTCACTTGAAGATGGTCGACTGTCTCAAATTATGGATCATCGGATAGTAAATGATGTGAACTTCAAGCAATTCATGGAAGTTGCAAAGATTGCGAGCCAGTGTTTGAAAGTGAAGAGAGAGGAAAGGCCGACTATGAGAGAAGTGGCGATGGAGATAGAGGGATTGAGAGGTGTTGAGAGGGGATCATTGGGGGAAAATGGAATGTCTTCTCGCACAATTAATGTCAGAGATTCGTTCATAAGTAGTGGTAAAACAACCGACGGAGAAAGCATGGAGCCATTTTCTTGGTCATTGAGTAGTGGGAGGTGATGGTAATTTGAATTGTCTCACCACATTATTTTAACTTTTCCAATGTTTTCTTTACAATAATTGTATCAAACTTAAATGACCATCTTTTTAACAATACCAACTAGAGAAAATATACTTCGTATTATTTTATCAAATGATTGTCCCCTGGACCCTAGTTATCTTGTTTCTGTTACAAACGGTTAACATGGTAGTTTTGGAGAAAAATCATCCAACACGCAGTTATAGTTATAGGTATACCAGGTTTCGATCCACTTTTGGCCTTTGCATCCTTATTCACAAGTCAAACTTTTATATTGTAACTTTGTAAGTCACATTTTAAGTCTAGGAAATACATTCTTATGATGTCAAGCTGATCTAGTCATAAAACAAGTCAATTTCACATAGTCATACAATTAAGCCCAACTTTTTCTATATATGGCAACTTCATTCAACGACAAACTGATTCAAAATTATGTACGCTCTAAACATAGAAAGCGTTCTAATTAACCTCGCATGTTACTAGCGCCGTCATAATCTTGACCTCGTATTCTTGACATATTTAACCCATGTCGAGAACAGCCTCATGCAAATGGCTGACTTAAGTGAGAGTGGTGTGGTATCAAGAACATGGACAACTCCAAGAAGCCGCTCAATCATATGGCCGCATGTATCAACATAGCCGATAAATAAAGTTAATTTCTCTTTCACTGAGATATCTCTCGACTCATCCATAAGAATTCCATAGAATTCACTTCAAAGATCTTTAATTTGAGTATGAGATTAGATGTCTTCGCATTGCAATCGCATTGACAATGTCCTTTTAAACAATGAAATGAATATTAACCTATTACAAAATGGAGCTTGATTTCGCCTTGACTAGATTCATACTATGCTCATTAATTGATTAATGTTCGAAAGGGATATTAACCTTGGGTCTAGTTTTATCTTTACTTTTTTTTCTTTTTTTTTTCTGTACTCTTTCTTTTATTTATCTTCTTGCACTGTACTCATCCATAAAATCATCTTTTTCCTTAAAAAAAAGATTAATGTTCGAACTATTCAGGAAATCCTCGAATCTTTTATTCATTAATAAATTTATAAAATTGCGCTAAGAATGTTTGTAAATAAATATATCATTTATATAATTTATTCCTATAACTTATAAGTGAACAATAGGCTCGAGTCTGGATCGAAGTCATCGAACCAATCAACACTATTATGCTCAAACTCGCCTTAAATAACTATTCGAAGTCAAAATCTAGTCTATGTTGGAGTTTGAAGCTTGTAAAGCTCGGATTATTAAATTTTGATTCGAAATCAAGATCGAACTTGAGTAGTTTGAGAAAGGTTCGGTTCGTTAATTAACAACTCTAAGCTAAACTTTGTATGTGTAGTGACAATTTTTTTTCCGCTTAACCCACACCACCTATCATTTCTGGATCCGCCCCTGCAAATGTTATTTATTAACACTTAAGCTATGGCAAGTTGGTTCTTGCTTGTTTTTATTTAAAGTTATTATATTGCAATAATGGTATTCAATCAAATCAAATTATATATTTTGTTTTTTTGTAGAGAAAATTCCACTAAATTATGTGTTTATTTACTTTTTAGCATAACATAGGATTTTTATTTAAGTTTTGTGAATTTTTGTAGGGGCATTTTATGAAACACGATTCAGCCCCGAATTTAAGTAGGATCTGCACTGAACGGCGTCACCGGCTTCACCGCATCGGCCATCGTCTTGAGCCAATCATCACCTTGTCTGCTGCTACAGCCTGCAGAGCTAGAGTGCTACATGAAGTCCAGGTTGTTGGTTGCGAATATCAGGGGAAGTGGGAAGAGCCAAGAGGGTAAGCAGTAACTGGTCGTGTGTTCTGCTGCGAAAAGAACTATCCCGCTTGAAGCCTTCAGCAAGTGCCAGACCTATTTTTTCAAAATTCCTAAAACGACCAAAACGACCAAAACGAAGTCGTCTCGTTTTTGCACAAAAAAAAATCAGTGGGGCTCTTAGAATAAGCTCCCAACCACTAGTTTTTTGTGTTCCTTGACATTGATGTTACATGCTGTTTTTGTCTAGATGAATCAGAATCTGTTGAGCATCTTATTATAGGTTCCCTGTTACAGTATGATCTGGAAAGGTGTATGTGATTGGATGACTGAACTAAAGGGTCAAATAGGTACATGAACTAACTTAAAGTGTTCAATTAGCCTCTTATATAGGATGTTCTGCCCAGACGTCGCCAATTGGGGCGGTTCCCGGTGGAATTTTTTTATGAAATTTTTTGAGCATCTTCATCATTAAGTCTAGTTTACTCATACCAAATTTCAGCTAAAAATTCAACCGGGAAGGCAGTCAAATGATTTTTTGAAGATAACTGCGTAGTTAAACAGCGTAGTACATTTCGGAAAATCATTTTACTGTCTTCCCAATTTAATTTTTAGCTGATATTTGATATGGGTAAACTAGACTTAATGAAGAAGATGATAAAAAAAATTCATCAAAAAATTCCACCAAAAACCGCCCCAATTTGCGACAGCCGGGCAGAACCTCCTATATAAGAGGCTAATTGAACACTTTAAGTTAGTTCATGTACCTATTAGACCCTTTAGTCTTTTGTTTATAAAACTATCGTGTAGATTTACAGTTCATAAAAAAACGTTACTAAACCAATCTTTACTATTGCGCTGGTAGTTCCTCAATTTAGAGTTCATCATGGCATAATCCTCGTAATTAAGTGACTCACCCAAGACCATAGACCATTTGTAGTGGTCGATCCCAAATTTTAAATTTGGATTCCGTCAATATGAAAATGATGTTTAGACTCCGTTAATATTGTTTTTTCCTGCATCCGTGTATTATCAATAAAATACATTCTGCAAATTTCATTAATTTTTTAAATGTTCTTCGGTTAACAAAAAATGAACTTAGTTCATATAAAGTTTGATTATGAAATATTCAGTTATTTTTGAAGGCTCTATAAATCAAAATCTTGTGTTTCGGGTTTTTTTGGGCTCAAGAAAACTTCAACAACTAAAATTTTAGATTTCTTTTTTGATTTTATATATTACATATTGATGGCATATGAAAGATCTTAAAAATTCATGAATTTTGAATGGATTTTTCATAGCACAAAGTTCGATAAAGTTGGGATCACTTCTTAATAATAAAAATAGTTGTCATTAGATATATAAATATGTTGTTACGTATTTGTGTTTATAAATTATAATAACAAAGGATCCATGCAATTGAGCAATGCTAAAAATGTTATTGATCAATCTTTTGAAAACATGCATCCAATAAGCAAAAACATTAATTGATAGTATAGCTTTAACAATCAAAATTTTCACATTATAATTACTAATTGCTAATAATTAATTTACACATTATTGTTTAGAGAAAATGAGTATGATCGAAATCATTAAATATGGAAACACAAGCTACACCTTGTTATTTTATATTATTATAGAAGACTATTGTTATTAATAATATAGCTATTATTGTACTGCAAGACAATAACAATGATGTTTTTAATTAGACTAAAGTTTTATAATCAGACCTGACGTCTGATGACCTAAACTGAGGACCTAAATTTTAATTCAACAACTAAAATTTTAGATTTCTTTTTTGATTTTATATATTACACATTGATGTCATATGAAAGATCTTAAAAATTCATGAATTTTGATACGGAGTATATTTTTAGAAAAAAATGGAGAACAAATAAAAAAAATTTAAGAATTTGAAACAATTTCAGGTAATAATGACATCACTATGATGGGAGCCTGCTTTGTTTGTACTCCCTCTGTCCCGAAATTATCTTCTTTCTTTCCACTTCGGTCCGTCCCAAATTTATCTCCTCTTTCCCTTTTTGACAAATAATTTGTGGTTCACAACCATTTTTACACATTTATCTTTCCTCTGCACAATCTCCACAACATATTTCTCACTATCTTAATCTCCGTGCCCAGTCAAAACCGAAGTTAATTCTGGGACGGAGGGAAAAACAGCGTATAGAAGCTAGAGGCAGCCCCCACCCCGTTTTCATTTCTTTTTCATTTTTTTTGCTGTCAAAACTCCTCTTAATTTAATCCATCCCTCCCATACCTATTGTTAATACCCACTTTAATCAACCAATGTATTCCGTGTAAAATTAGGAGTCCAAAAATGTCGTTTTTAATAGTTTGGACTTCTAATACCTCACCACTCCAATTAGTCTAAATCTATTGAAATTGTTAAAATTCTTCCGAAAGCAGCAAAGTTGACCGAATCCATTGAACTATAGAAAATTTATACGAGCATTTAATATATACTATCATATTTTATTAATAAAATAAAGAAAACTTTAAATGAAAATAGTTAAAATAGACCTCTACTGTAAAATATAGAAAATAACACCAATTTTACTTATTTTGATTATTACACAATTTTAATGTGTGAAATCAAAAGTTATGTGTTTGTTAAAAAATTGGCAGTCCACTAAGTTGAAGGTAGGAGTTTACCAAAAGCCGTTGTATGAATCAACTTATGTCTTGTTCAACCACATGAATCTTAACAGGATAAAGAATTGGTTTTTGAATTAAGATTTTTGTCTATTAAGGAGGGTATTTGTGGGTCACGATGAATTTTCTTAATATTACGGTAGTATGTATGAGATTATTATACTTAGAATAATATGATACGTAGTAATGTTAATTCATATATATGGTGCATATTATATTTGTATTAATGCTAAAATAAGTTAAAGTATTATCTATTCAACAAATTGTTTTTAGAAAATAAGAAGTAAACGAAGTGTGTAATTTAATGTCAACAAACATTTATACTATTTAACTACTATATCTGATATTCAATTTCTATTGATATCTTACAAAATCAAGTACTAATTACCTAATAAAGATAATTAAACATTACAAAACTAAGAATTTTTAGGTACCCTAAGTCTTAAACAATGAGTTCTATTGTTTATTTGTTGAAGTTATGTCAATTATTTTAGATTCTACTTCTTTTAAATCTCTAATTAAGCATTGCATTACGTGAGTCTATATATTAATTTTGAAAACTAAAAGTTAAGGGGGGCGAAAACATATTTACCTAATTTAAGTATGAAAATTTTATGAAAATATTATATATATAGTAGAAAAATTTGGAAGTCCAAGGGGGCGGTC